TAAGAGGAAGCTGCATGCTTCTTTTTGTTAGTAATACATGACATTTGTGACATATTGTGCAAACTGGCTTGCTGGTATCTTTTCGATTTGTCATGCTCATTTGTCCCCAAGCTTGTGTTTCCATAGTTTTACTATTACCTTTTCAGACTGTTCCTAGCTCCACATTGAAGTTGCTGTGGTTGAAATATGACAAACACTAACAATAATTAGCTGCATCTGGCTCACACTTGTAGCCAGGAGGTAACAAACTGCAGTGTACTGACGTCTCTGAATATTTTAAAACTAACACTGGCACAAAGCTTTACTGTGTTATTCTGCAGCTCCCCAGCATTACTAACAAAAAGTAGTTTTGTTAGTTTGCTGTTTCTTACAAAACATCCCCATTTTTATTGACTGGCCTATTTATGTCTTTCAGTTATGTGTCGACCCCGCTGCTGTTGCAATATTTGTTTTTTGGTCTTCTAGAGTTGGCTCCTCCTGTTCAAGTGTAATAGTGGCGCCTACACTGTCCAGCTTGTCCAGCAAGTTTCTCCACTCACGTTACCTTGAATTCTCCCCACGAGCAGGGACACGCCTGAATGAATGTGACCTGTGTGCCTTGCTTTAGTAATGTTAGATGCATTAACATTACTGAATATTGCAAATCCTAGTGATGCACCAAAGTTATACTCGCCAGAGCAAATACAAACTAGATACTTACTCCAACTTTATTTTTACCAAGTCTCTTCAATGCATTTTAAAGCAAAATGACGAAAACTCATCTACATGCATTTAAATAATTATCAAAATCATTTTGTTCCACTAATATCCTTTATCTGCCAAAAACAATTTTCAGGTATCAACAGTATGTCTACCATTTTTTAAGTTATTATAACAAAACATAATAGGATCTATTGTTTTTCAAAACATATTTAATGAACCTCTCTGAATCTAATTTTAGCTGAGCATAGAAACTGTCAATAATGAAACACTCTCTGACAAGCTCACCCTGCAACGGCACAGAAGCTAATTGTTAAAAGAAAAACGGAAAAGAGCAAAAGCGCATCTGATAATGATGGAATCATAATGCAGAAATGAGAATTAGTTTTAATTTACAGCCGACATGTATTAAGAGCACCTCTTTTTTAAACATCAAGTCTTGCACAATCAGTTTCAAGGTCCTCCTCTCCTTCACGTCTCATATGTTAAACAAGATGTTAATTTTGACAAGCATGTGCTATAAAGCCTAAACCACTATAGTGCAGGCAAGCTGTCCTATCTATCTGCAGTATGCGTGTATTATTATTGTTGTAAAAAAGTTCTGAGTTAAATAGCAGACACTTATCTCAGTTATGACTGCTGACCAGTTTCGGTCTCATGTTTCAGTGTATGTGCAATACATAAACAAATGACCTTTGAGACACTGATCACCCTTCATCCTTTTGTTAAAAGAAAACAAGTATAACTTGCAATAAGCAAACATGAATCAGCCCCTCAGACTGACTAATTAAATCACAAGGCTAAATTACCACTAAACTTGCTGCCAATGACGAAGATGGGTACTTCTTTTTTGTACTTAGAAAGTCCCAGTTTAATCATCTGACAAACATTACTTTTGGGTTGTTCAAAAGGAATGAAGATTTTACAATCTTTGCCGAAGTGCAGCTAAAGCCTTTGATAAATACACTGTGTACTTAAGCATTAAACTCTTTTCCAAGTGATATTCACTGCAATTCACTCCTCAGTCAATCCTTCTTTTGCATAAGTGCTACTTTACTAAAGCAGTGACAACATCATTTATTCATCCTCACAACAAATATGACTGTGGGACAATAGGTCTGTGAGAAGAAAATACATATCACAAGACTGTAAGTTATATGATATAAACGTTTAGAACAGATACCTATCTAGTGGTAAATTTAAAGTGTGTTAAGTGACAAAACTCTATGTATTCATATTCTGGTGAATTAATTCATACAACAACTGGGACGTCATGTCAGCTGTTAGAGGAAAAAGTTATGAAGAGGAAATCATGTAACTGTTCTTTTAGCTCACATAAAAAGCAGAAACTGAGGTTAAAAAACCTAGAGGTTCGCAAGTAATACAAAACGCCACATATCTACAAGTGCATAATAAATGTCTTTTTCTACATGCGCACTGTTGGTTAAAACTAAGCTTGTTCCTACACAGTCTAACATATGAAGCACCATTGTTATTATATGGATGCAGTGGGATGATTCTTCTCTCATGCTGCACAGTGAGGTCATCTTTTACTCTGGTATGCAGAGGGGTAATATTTCTGCCTCTCTGGAAAACCAGTTCCCCTGAATTCCTTTAAAAGACCTCATTTCATTTGCCTGTTCTGCTGGATGTAATACTTTTATAACACCAAGAAACGGACATTATAACAAATAATAGCAACAAACTGCTGGAAATGTTGAGATATGTTTATCTCAGAACACTGTAGTGCTATTCTAATGTCCTTGGCTGTGGTGAGAATCTACATCCTGGGCCCGTAGCCCAAATGGTGTTGGTGTGATGTAATCCTGCCCAGTGACTTGTTAAACAAACACACAGCTCTCAGTGTTTCTCCTCTAAAGACTGATTTGACTTTGCCTCGACCAAACTGTGCCAGTCTGACACTTTCCTCATTAGCCATGCAAATGATACTGTACTTTGTAGCAGCTCTGAGTGTGAAGGCAAAGCGATAACCTCTACTTTGATGCTTCTCAGTATAGATATTACCCCGTGCTTTAGTCTGGACCACATCCACACACCCCACATTGCATGTCAGACATGTAACTCTATAAACCCATATATGGTGAAAACTGTGCGTAGCAAACGCGTACGAGTGAATCTTAAACTGTCCTACTTAGTCAGAATAACATTGCATAATCATCTGATAGACTTCATGTTTTGTCCATTTTGCCTTTTAAACAGCTTGAGGTCCACAGATTAAACCATGCATATCTTGATGCTTTTAAATTTCATCTTTTCATCTTATTTGCATGTCTGCAAACAAACTGGGACTTTCAGTACGTACTGGGGTAGAAAAAAGTGGGGATAAACAAAAGAGGACAAATTAGGGCTCCACCCAGGATGAATAATCACTTCCTCCTTCAAACTCTAAGCTGTGCTGAGATTTTTTTGCAATAGCCACAGTATGGGCTTCCACATTTCCTTTGCCTCCAACTGCTCTGCTCTCAGATCTAAACAACAGGGAACGTGCCCAACCATGAGACTACTTAACAAAAAGCTTACATAGACGTCTCAAGAGGGATTTGCTGAGAGCTGATGTCATCCAAGTGCTCTTGCAAACATTTTAAACTTGGGAGGCAGGATATTCACGAGTTGTAGCCTGTTGTCAGGATTTCTCAAAGCAACACCCTTCAGTAGCTCTGGGACTGCATGTCATTCCAGTCTACTCTGGGATTTCCTGTCTGGTAGTCATTATGGTCCCACTTTCTCTTACCTTAACTTCGCTCTACACAACCGGTGATTACGAGTTTGAAACTCTCCAGTTTGAAACACAGCAACACTGATTTCCACGCTGTGCTTCAGTTTTATGTCAACTTGATTTAACACCAACAGCAATCACAACTAAAACAGAAAAAGCACTTCAACCTCAACAGTGGCTTTTTAGTTCCTTGTTTAGCAACTGTGGCTGCAACTAAACTTTTGACCAAACCCACCAATAAGGCACAACACTGCTAAGAGTTGATTACTGGCAATAGAGACGTTATGTCAATCAGAATGTTCAACAGTAGCCAAACTTCCATGCTGACAAACACGGAAAAGCAGAAACGAAAATCAACAGCAGCCAAAGTTTTTTGTCTCTGGTTACGGAAAATTACTTTCAGCCACTCATTTCTGCAGCTGCTGACAACACTTAACACACTCAGTAATTTAGTTTAGATTTACGATTTTACATTCCACTTGGCCCAGTGAATACAAGACTGCGGCTACAGTTTACCTAATGAGGCCGTTGTTGGTTTTGGATATTCTTAGTAGCAAGAGACACTGTTTACACAATTGTTCACACAATTGTTCACACAATTGCAGCAAAGGTTTTTTTTTTATTTTGGGCCAACAAGCTAAAGCCCAGCATGAGTTGATGTATTATTAAGTGATTGATCCAGATTGTATGCAGAATATTGGGATCTTCTGACTTGATGATACAAGAGCTCCATGGATGCAGAAAAGGTTACCCCCTTTTATAAAAACCACAGTATTCCCTCTACCTAAAATACTACAACAGGCCAAACCCACGAGGAGACTATAAATGGAACAATTGCTCGAGGTTTTCAGTTGTTATCTTATTTACACTCCCCTCAGGCTGACTAATGATATGTTTTATCAATCACACGCACTCATACAGTTCAAAAAGCCACAAACCACATGGACATTACGGTATGCACTGAGTCATCCAGTAACTTCACTTTTTTGTGTGTGTATACATTTAAAGATATATATATATGGAGGCCAAACTGTCGCAACAAGAATGCTCTTTTAAAAAACTTCCAGGGGATGTATTGACGGGAAAAATCACATGATGCACTGAGTGCTTTGAAAACTCAAGCACTCAGCGAAACAGTATCTGTTTTGCTCAACTCTAACAGCTATTAGCCACTCTGTATTGGGCTACATTAAATAGTAATAACAACACATCAATAACTGGTGCAAAGTGAACAGAGATGTATTGATAACATGCAAGTTGCAGCTTGCAGACAGATACTGAATGAAGTATCTATCTTGCTTTTCTGCATAGTTTCCAGTTGGTTTGATTTGACTTTGCAATTAAAAAATCTAACTTGCAAAAAAACTGTGGTTTATAAATCTTTTTTCTTTAAGCAGAGGTAAAAACCGAAGGTGTTGAAACTTTCTGCAACTGAGGAGCAGTGTAACTCTCTGCCTTACAAGTTGAGAGAGAAATTAACCCCTGCTTTGTGGGATTACAGGATGTGACAGTTCACTCGCACAATACAGCCATGCAACTTCAGCGAGCAACTCTGATCACCTACCAGCTTTTTGTTTTTACCCTCATCCTCGCTGGATTTCTTTTTAGAGGGTTTATTCGGATCCTCCCCACCGCTGGCTTGATCCATTGTAGCTTTAAGTCGGGTTCCCCCCTTTCAGAAACAACCAACCTCCTTTAAAAGTTGACCACCACAACCGGCGGGCTTTTTCACAACACTTGTCCGGCACTCTATCCAGGTCAAGTGTTTTCAAAATCCATTTAAAGGCGAAGAATGAATTCCAAACAGTTGCCGAATAGCATCCAGCAGTCGAGCAGGGAGAAGAGGTGTGGTAGGATATACGTCCTGATGTCCACTCGGCTCAGCTGGAAGTCACTTCTCACGGCGGCTGAGGGCTCCCTGGAAGTAGCACGACACTGTGTAAACAACAAATGATTAGTCTATCACAATGTCCCGGCCGTTAAGTTGCACAAATGTTTCTCTTTACACGTGTTTTTTTCCCTGAGCAGCTTTGTTTAGTATTCAGAGTGCAGGCTCACTGAGGTGAAGACATGGTAAAACAGATATAAACAAACATGTCCGAGGTAGCTCGTTAACAATAACAGCAACGTGTTTCTGACACTTACGGACACGTCGTTTTGTTTGGAAACAGCCTATATTGTTCCACAAAGCACAAACTTACAACCGTGTAAGTTAGCAATAACCGAGTAGTAACCGACAGAAAAACGTTTCGTGTCAGCTCAGGATGCTCGTCAACGTGCGCTGACAAGGCCGTTGTTCAAGTGACAATACGGTCATTAATCAGAATTAACGCACAGTTGTTGTAATATTGGAAAAATCACCGTTGTTCTCTCTGCTTGGGATACTTTACAGTGCTGTTCACTTAGCCAAGCTAGCAATGGGCGACCGTTACCCGCCGAATATTGCTTATTTTAGCGGAAATTTTAACGTCTCGGCGTGTAAGACACTAGTCCATGAATTACAATGTGTAAAATAAATAACATGTAAAAGAAAAACTCAAAAAAAATCCCATCCAAAGCTTACCTTTGCAACCAAACATGAAAACCAGGCCCACGGTGATCCCGCCCACCAAGGTTCTAATTGGCCAATGTAGTGCGTAAGAAACGGGGATCCCGGCTGCTATTGGTCAGACGTGCCGACAGTCATAAGGTCGGACGGCGTCGTCGGGGAGGAGACTGTTGTGACGGGGAGGTCAGACTGATCTCACAGTGAGTGGATGGGACTTCAGTGAGCTCCAAAGAATAGATCTGTGAGGGCGCTCCACGGGGCTGACCGTCGGTAGGAAGCACGACAGGAATCCGCACACACCCACGATGAGTGTGTGTGTGTCATGTTGTTATCACACAGACACACACCTTTTCAGGGACTGGTGCCATTAACAGTGACATGGGCGTAGCTTTCACTTGAACGCTGAATGGGACACATTAAGCGGGAGATTTAACAGTGCCTCCCGAGGAGACTAAGAGTTGAAATGTCTTTTTTTTTCATGTTAAGGAAAATACAAAATTCTTGTACCAGGTCACATATCCAGTTATTATAGAATTAAATACAGAAAGGTGCTCAGGCATTCTGGACCTTCTAAATATTTGCTCAGATCAGCTTTTCTCATTTAATATTATCTGTACTGACTCAACACACATATACAGTCGTCCTTAAATGTATTCATAGCCTTCCATTTAAGAAATGGCAAAATTCACAATGGTCATTCAAACAACTAGAAAATGAAAAAAGTAATAATAAATACAAATTTGCTTAATTATAATTTAGTGAAATAAGACATTGCTTTTGAATTGTGGTTGAATTTTTTTATTTTTTATTTTTTTAAACTGTTCCAGATAAATTAGAGCACTTTGCTGATGAGCAGTGGACCAAAATCAAAACACCTGTCAACAGGTGCAGAAGTCTGAGAGTTACAGAAAACACCGGATTGCAGTGATTGCCTCAAAGGGTTGTTTGAGGCAATTAGTTTACGTGCCATCGTGCTTGTTTGCTTATTTTGTTGTTGTTGTTGTTGTTTTTGAATATTTCTGTTAAACCACAATTCAAAAGCAATGTCATGATTTTCATTACATTTTTATTTATTATTACTTTTGTCAATTTCAACTTATTTCAGTGACAGCTGTTCTTTTCCCTCTTTAATGGGAGGGGATGAATACATTTGAGGACAACTAGCTATGATTTACTGATCTGTTCTCTTTTAGGTCTTCTCTTTGGAAAACTGACCTTTGTAACCTTTGTAATCCTAAACTGTTTCTGTTTGCTTTTTGTTCCTGACACATTTTTACTCACCTTGGGTTCATTTTTCACTTCAATATAAAGTCCTGCACCTCTAGGAAATCAGCACAGCTTTTAGTCATATTAAAATTATTGAAAAAAACTGATGTAACCAATACTGAGGGGGAATCCATAATCGCTTAACATACTGTAAATATTTTATGACTTACATATTTCATTTGTTTCTATACTGTCTCTATTTATTCTGTATAAATACAGCCTGCAGTTCATTAGAAAACTCCCTGAATTTTTATCACGACTGTTGACTGCAGCTTAGTCACTCATAATTTCTCGATTGTACTAAGAAGAGCAGTTTTTTTTTCTTTTTCACAGCATCTGCTTAGTATAAAAATTTTATTTTTGACATTTCTAAGACTAAATAAATATGTAAAACAAAGTGATTTTAATGATGCTTAGATTTGGTCCTTTTTTCTGATGGAACTGCATGCCACACATAATTAGTGGAATTAGTGGAAGGATTGTCAGAAAATGTCTAAAATCTAATGGGGGATGCACGTGTTTCAAATTTTGAGGAGGACTTTTTTTTGTACCAATTAAAAACACAAGTTGTAACATCTGGGTCGGTAAGGTTTGCAAATGCTGGTAGACAGGTTTTGTTATGGCTGGAGAGAGCTGGGCTAGCTGTTTCCTCTTTTTCCAGTCTTTGTGATAAGCTAAGCTAACCAGGAGCTCTCATACGGACGCAAGAGTTGGACAAGTCGAAGCTCTTGAGCACATTTCCCAAAATGCTGAAATATGCCTTTAAGTGATTTATTAAATGTCAGTCAAACTCAAAACACTTAGTGATTGCTTTTTCTCTGTTTTGTTTTGCAATACATTAGGACTGTGGTTGAACAAAAGAAGAACTTTGAAGGTTTTAGGAAACTGTGACTGACACTAACACAATTTTTTATATAATGTCAACTGTAGATAAAAAGCAATGGAGGAATAGACATTTAAATAAGATCATCAGTAGTTGAATACCACCTAAAATGTAGAATTTTTCTATTTTGATAGATTAGGTTCCTAATGAGAATGAAATATAGATTTCTCTACACTGAATCTCTAAGCTGTCAGACGCAAATAATACAAGAGTTTTAATGGGAGGGATGGAATGTGTAAATGTAACATAGAAATTTAGACAGAATTAGATTAGAGGTATGTCTGCCAGCAAAAGCATAGTATTATACTGAACACGGTCTTTTATCCCCATAATTGTAACATTTATCTTTATAGAGTGAATGTCCAGACTTTTCGAAGACAGCACCACTGGGACACAATGCATCTGTTATAAACTTTTGGCATTGAAAAAACACAGAGGACTCTCAGTGCTGTGGCCTCAGTTTTACTTTTCTTTTCACACATAGACTTACAAGCCTTTCACCAGGGCCAGAGAACCAACTCATGACCCCTTGTCTCCTAGTTTGGAGACATTGTTTGGGCTTTGGGATCCCTGAATGAAAGTTCACAAAAGCATTTTTAAGAAAAAATACACATTTCAGCAACGAATGATTGGTCTCAATTCTCTTTTTGCTTCACAGGCACAAGGAAAGAAATCATTTTTGTTCAGATCAATACTGAAAAGTGTTCAATTTTATATTGTAATACATTTCTTTCTTTAAAAAAACACGATCAGGCTTAAAAAAAAGAAAACACAAAAACACAACAGCTTACATCAGTCTGTTTAAGTTATGAAAACTTCTAAGGAGATTGTGTTCAAGCAAGAGTTTAGAGAATTAGTCTTTCCTAAAGTAAGTTTAAATGACCAATAACTTAATAACTGGGAGCACAAATGCAAATTTTATCGTTTTTAAGGACATAAAACCTCAACTCAAGCTATCGTGCCAATTTAATTAGTTTACTATGACTTTGATTTCATTTTAAATGAATTAACGCAGAAACTGTTTAAATTACACACAATATTAAGTTGGTGGTATTACCAACATTATTACGTCAGCACAGTTCATCAAGACAATAATTGCAACTTAAAGGGTTTATGTAAATCAATAAATTAGATTTTTTTTAAATTAAATCTTGTAATTGTACATTTAATTTAGCAGTAGTATCAGGTCCATTTAATTACATTTTAAGCTGTGACTGCAGTGAAGTATCCTGCCATCCTTTACAGTTACTGTTACACTGCAGCACCCTAATGGATCTAACATAACAAACACACACTAGATATTATATAACACATAATGATGATGTCCACTACATTCACACTTGCAACATTTCCTTCTCTCAGACAAATCTCACTTCTCCAATCAGGGAAAACAAACAGAGAACTTAAAAAAAAAATTACATAAGGAAGTTGTAACAAGCACAGTGTTGATCCAAACAAAACACAACCAAGCAGTCATCAGTGCTGGTAAGTTTGGTCTGTAAATAAAGCTTCCCTCTGATGCTCACATGTCGTTCTGAGGCATATGACCACTATGCACACGCAGCCAACTGAAAATGAGGCACTTGATCTCTCTCTGGCCCATTGCCCTAATGAGGATGAGAATATGGAGCTCTTCTAAGAGGAAGCTTCTCAGATAGGGGCAATGCTGAAAATGACTGCAACAACGAGTGAGCTCAGTTTTAAATCAAGCACATTATAAGAACCTGCATTACCGACAAGAAAAATGTTAGACAAATGCTATTTTTGACTTCATGAAGGAACCATACAAAAAGTCAGGTGATCATTCTAATCTTCAAAGTCCATGCGGGTTGTTTTGTTGTATTTACATATAAATGAATGTCAGTTTTATTCAAGCAACTGCCAAATGAGTTCACACAAAGCTGATTAATCCTACCAGTGCTTAGCAAATCTCTCTGTATTTTGCACTATAATAGAGTCCTAAGTCTTCTTTCTATGGGGACATTCCCATCCTGGGGCACTGATAGTGTTGCATTATACGTTAACCAACAATAATTTGTTTGTCAGAAGCAACGATGAGGAGCAATTGTGGCAATAGAGACAGAGTAGGCTACAGCAACTATGGCAGAGTCTACAGTTGAAAAAAAAACCTAGAAAACATCCAAGAGCCGCTTCTGATGCTCCAGATAAAAAAGAAACTCCATAAGTAATTTAGAACAGCCAAACTGAGCTTGAAGATTTGGAAAATCAATAGTATCTGTTGGAAGAGGCCTTTTAATAATAACTTAAGCTCTGTACCAATGCTGCCTCATCACTGCAAGCATCAGTAACGAGCAAATTCCTGTGAAATGGTTTTGCATAAACAGCTAACTATTTCAGTGCACTCCACTTTCCTCTGTATGACATTATGTTTCAGCCCAGCTGACTGAAAGCAGCTCCAAACATTTAATTAGGTCATTCAGCTTTCCATCTGTCCATGCTGGACTCACAGAGTTGGCCCTATTGGTTATTTAGCAAGAAACTGCAGAACAACATTGCTGCAGTTTGGGAGTGAGACAGACAAAAAAAAAAAAAAAATCCTAGTGGGTTCAGTGCCAGACCTGCACAAAAATAACTACAATGTGAGTGTCAAAATAAATTATAAATACAGTTGTTTAAAGTGTAATAAATACACATAAGAGTGTCCTGACCGCAATCATCACAGCACATAAAACGTAATATTTCGATTTCTTCAAGTGTAAAAAACAAACTAAAAACACAGGCATAGCACTGAAGCAGCTACTTATTTTTGCAGCTCATAAACAACATCTGTTAAACCAGTGTTAATCCAGTGCCACCAATATCATAGTAACCCTGTTGAATTTCTCTCTGTGTTTTTGGGTAGCTACCAAACACTGGAGTCAACATCCACTCTCGAGCTCTATTATTAAATACATGCAGCTTCTCTGGATGTGGGACATTTTT